TATATGAGACGTTGTCTCAAAAAAGGAAACAAGTGATGCTTGGAATACAGCTCATCAGTAGGGCATGTGCCTAGTATGCACAAGGCTCTGGATCACTTCCCAAGCAGCAAACACAGAGATTAATAAATGAATGATATCTTAAAAACTAATACTCCATACTTGCTATGAGTCCTAAAATTATGAGATTGTATTATTTGTCACTCATTTTATAGCTCGAGAAAACTAACGTGTCTAACTAAGGTTGCACAGACAAAAGGAGGTAAGGCTAGGGGCTGGGAATCGTAGCTTGTTGCTAGAGAGCCCTTGCCTAGCATATTCAGTGCCTTGGATTCCATCCCCAACACTGCAGAATACACAATACGTATGTGAATAGTACCAGGATTAATTAATTAATTTATTTATTGGTTTTCTGAGACAGGGTTTCTAGGTGTAGCCCTGGCTGTCCTGGGAACTTACTCTTTGGAACAGGCTGGACTCGAACTCACAGAGCTCTGCCTGAGTTCAAGGATTAAAAGCATGAGCCACCACTGCCATCAAATAGTTTGAGGATTTATTCTCTTTCGAGCACTCTCCATGTGCCTCCAATTTTCCTTTAGAGATTGGGGCTCACACTTTAGCCCATGCTGACCTGAAACTTATCCGGCAGCCCAGGGAAGCCTCAGACAAACTCCCATGCTAGATTGCAGGTGTACACTTCTGGTGCCAAGATCTGAATCCAGATATTTGGCTCTAGAGTCTACACTGTGTAACTCCCACCCCCAGAGGAAAACAATCTTGTAGCCATGGTGGGGTCCCTTCCTGAAGGCTGCTACTCATCCCCAACCCTGTATGTCCTGGTTCTCATTATAGGTGCTGCATGGAAGCTACTGTCAGGTGTGCGGGAGGGCCAAACACAGGTAGACACCCCTCAGACAGGGGATATGGCTTACTGGTCCCACCCCATTGACCTGCACTTCGCTACCAAAGGTCTCCAAGGTGGGTACAGGATGAGAGGAGTGGGGCCAAAGCAGGAGGAGCTGGGGTCAGAACACCATGGCTGTCCCTGCTCCCCATACTTTGTAAATCCCTTTTCAGGCACAGCCTCCTCTAGAGATGTGGATCTGAGGCCTGACCCGAGCTGTAGAGAGCCCTAGGCCCATGGAATGTGGCGGAGGTTGGAGTAGAGAAGATAGCAGGGAGTGGGGGTCAAGTGGGAGGGGGGCTGCCTTCCAGTAAAGGGCAATGGAGGAGGCTGGCGGGAGTAGAGAGAGCTAGATGGGGAGGAGAGGGGCGGGAAATGAGCCAGTTGCTGTTGCTCACAAAAGCAGAGGCCCTGCTCAAAGGGGAAGTGAGTGTACGAGGGAGGGCGGGTGTCATATCAGCACAGCTTTTCTGATTAAAACAGGGCAGGTTCTGGGAAATGGCCTGGGCATTTCAGCAATATCAGTACTGTTGACTGAGTCTATGCCTGTCCAACTTGAGCAGGACGTCCCCAGTCAAGTCCTGTCTTCAGGTAGAACACAGACCAGTTTCCAGATGGGGCCAGCACAGAGGCCATGGGAACCCAGAAGGCTCTGGGTGGTCACATGACCTGCTAGGGCAGAGAGCAGTTACAGCCTTGCTGTAAAGGGCAAGGAGGAACTAACTAGGCCCAAGAACAAAGACAGGAGAGGGATGGAGGCAGAGAGCTGGAGCTGGGTAGAAGGCTCAGGGTGAAGAGTGAGCCAGGCATTTGATGGCTGTGGGAGAAGAGGACAGGGGTATGCTGTGGGAGGGAGCAGAATGCAGGGTCCCCAGCTGCAAAGGCGCTAAGACCATCTCCTGAAGGTTGTGAGGAGCCCAGGAAGAAATGGACGGACTTGATTTTGCTTTTGAACAATCTTACTGGCTTCTGGGCAGGTGATGTGTTAGAGGGTGAGGCAGAGAAATGAACCTTCATTTCTTCAGCTCTAGCCTTAGGCTGGCTTCCCCTTGATTTCTTTCTTCTTAATCCCTCATTCTGCTCACCATCAAATCCTGTTGGCTCTAAAATCCCATTTGAAATACACCCTAACTTCTGTTTCTCACCCTCTTCCTGCCCTGTGCCCACTCTGACCAATCTCTCAGTCTTCACTGTGCTCCCAGACCTGAGCCTCACAGTTTGCACCCCACATGAGAGGACCTAAGTCTGACCGCGCACACGCGCGCGCGCGTCCTTCGTCTGTACAGAATCCTCTAGCAGTTCTCCTTTTACTCATGATAAAAGCTGGAGTCTTCCCTAGTATCACATGGACCTATGTAATCTGGCTGTCACCTCTGCCCTACTCCCCACAATTCCCCATCCTAGCTACACTGGCCCCACCAGGCTAGCTTGGACTTGAGGACTTTTGCATTGGCTGGGATCTCTCATCCGCTAGGTGCCTAGATGGCCCACTGCCTTTAAACATTTGTGTAGGTGTTGCCTCATGGTTGGTTTGTCTGCTTTTCAGATAGAGCCTCTGAACATAGTCCAGAACCTCATAGCCTAGAACCTCAGCATCCCAAGTGTGCACAAAAAAGGTCACCCTTCCAGATATGGTCTTCCTATATAGCTCTGGTTGTCCTGTAGAACTCACTATGTAAACCAGGCTAGCCTTGAACTTTCGGGAATCCTTTTGCCTCTACCTCCCAAGTGCTGGCATGACAGCCATATACCACGGTGCTCGGCCCCAAATGTCACCTTCTTAGCAAAGCTTCCTTTACTCCCCCCCCCTTCCCCAAACTACGTCCCCTCCTCCTCCCTCCTCGGCATTCTTTTCCTCCATAGCAGTTATCACCATCTGACATACCCTGTAATTTACTTATTTACTATGTTGGTTGTCTAGGATGTCAGCTTCACGGGGCAGGAATTTTTGTCTGCTGTGTTCATCGCAGTGTCCCCAGCTTCTAGAGCAGGGCCCAACAGGGAGGGCTCAGGGTAGAGGGGAAGATGGGTTGGATCTCCAAGCACTTTGACTGTCAGGCTAGGAAGCTCAGCTGTGCTTTGAGGACACTAGAAACCTAATGAAGGGGTGAGGTGGGCTGCACTGGGCAAGAACAGGTGGGGGAGAACAAAGCAGGTCCAGAGGAGAGACCGTGGGAGGGGTCTAGCTGAGGTGCTGACCTGGGGACTGGGAGAGCAGTGGGCTCCACGCAGGGAGACAGAGGAGACCACAAAGGGAAGTCAGCAGAGGCTTTTCACACTCAAGAAGTTGAGCTTTTGTACTGTGGCACAGGTGAGCCCTGGCAGGGTGTATTTATAAAGATCCCTGTTTCTGCTATGTGGAGTGGATGGGGGATGGGAACCCAGAGAGGAAATTAAGGCAGTAATCAAAGGCCAAGGACTGGGCCAAGGTCTCTAGGAGTTCCAAGGAAATGGGAACCCAGGAGCTTGTGGCTGCCTCCCTTCATCTCTCCTTTGTCTAACTGCTCTTGTCCTGCAGGTTGGCCTCGACTCCATCTCCAGGTGTGGTCCCAGGACAGCTTTGGCCGCTGCCAGCTTGCTGGCTATGGCTTTTGCCATGTGCCTAGCAGCCCAGGCACCCACCAGCTGGACTGCCCTACATGGAGGCCCTTGGGCAGTTGGCGGGAACAGCTGGCACGGGCCTTCGTGGGTGGTGGGCCACAGCTGCTGCACGCAGACACCATCTACAGTGGAGCTGACCGCTATCGCCTGCACACGGCCGCGGGTGGCACAGTGCACCTCGGTATTGGCCTGCTGTTGCGCCACTTTGATCGCTATGGTGTGGAGTGTTGAGGGACTTCACCGCCACTAGTCACCATCATCTACAGCCCGAGGAACTCTTGAGCACAGGATGGCACAGCTGTCAAGAACATGGACTCTGGATATTGCCAGTCTTGACCTCACCCAAGTCGTGGCCCCTCTGTCCTACCTAGGACTGCAAAACCAGGAATTCCCCCGAGGCCCATGCGCCACTGAACTACCCGGTAGTAAGTCTGTGGGTTACAGGGACTCGAGGGATGCACTTAATAAAAACTCGCGGGTTTTTCATGGGCATGGTGCCTTCTTGTAACCTCTGCAGCTCTCAGGTGCCCAGTCTTCTTGCCTCATCCTCCTCAACACCTTCCTTGGTAGACGCAAAGTCTGTCCCAGCCTTTCACTCTCTCCATCCCAGGTCCTCACCTCTAACATCTCCTCTGGGACCCTATCTTCTCATGAAGTCCTCATTTTCCCATTGACCCTTCATCAACCCCCAAAGCCACGGGGCGCTTTGGTCACCGGCTTTGGTAGCGCTCGACCGCCAGGAGGCAGCACCCTGGAAGTGGGGCGGGGCCGGGGTGCCCGTCCCCTCCCCGCAGGGCTGAAGGGACCCCCCTCGGAGCCCGCCCACGCTAGATGAAGACGGTGGCCCCCCCACGCCCTCCCCCTGGGGCTGCCCCCGCCCTGCGTGCGCTTCCTGGGTGGGGCCGGGGCGGCTTCAAAACCCCCGCCCGCCCCAGCCGGTCCCCGCCGCCGCCCTTCGCGCCCCAGGCCGTCCCCCTCCTCCTCCCGCCGCGGATCCTCCAGACAGTCAGGCCCCCGGCCGGGGCAGGGGGGACGCCCCTTCGGGGCACCCCCGGCTCTGAGCCGTCCGCGGAGCCGGCCTCCGCCCGAGCCGGCAAAGGAGCAGGAGCCGTCCAAGAGGCCCCAGAATCTGAGTCGAGCCGCCGCCGCCGCCGCCGCCGCCGCCGCCGCCGCCACTGCGGGGAGGAGGGGGAAGAGGGGTGGGAGGAGGGACGAGCTGGTTGAGAGAAGAGGAAAAAAAGTTTTGAGACTTTTCCGCTGCTCCTGCGAGCCGGAGACGCGGGGACCGTGCTGTCCCGCAAAGAGGCAGGACCTAGGAACTCCAGACCGTCCTGCTCACCGTCGTGGACGTTTGCTCGCTACACGGCGTTCCTCAGACGCCCCCATTCCGGACCAGCCCTCAGGAGCCGCAAGCCCCGCCTCCCGCGAAGACTTCACCCCAAAGCTGGGCGCACCCCTTGCACGCCGCCCTCCCCCCCCCCCAGCCTGCCTCCTGAGTCCCCCGCATCCCAGGACCCTCTCTCCCCCGGAGGCCGATCTCTCTCAGACCTGCTGGCAGTAGCTCCCCTATTTAAAAACACCCACTTTTTGGTCCCAGAGAGCGCTCATCTCGATTTTTCCCCCCCGGTGGCATACTGAGACACCCTGTGTCAGAGCCTCACCGCGACTCCTGCTGCTTTCTCCCTCAACCTCAAATTATTCAGGACTCTCTTCTACCTTTCCTTGGGAGACCACCCCACCACCACCACCACCACAGCCCTGCAGGGGCGGGGCCTCCGCATCCCACCTTTGCCCGGGGTTTGCGCTCTCCGCATTGCCGCGGGGCGCCGCCTCCCCCATGCCGCCCTCGGGGCTGCGGCTACTGCCGCTTCTGCTCCCGCTCCCGTGGCTTCTAGTGCTGACGCCCGGGAGGCCAGCCGAGGGACTCTCCACCTGCAAAACCATCGACATGGAGCTGGTGAAGCGGAAGCGCATCGAAGCCATCCGTGGCCAGATCCTGTCCAAACTACGGCTCGCCAGTCCCCCGAGCCAGGGGGAGGTGCCGCCCGGCCCGCTGCCCGAGGCCGTGCTCGCTTTGTACAACAGCACCCGCGACCGGGTAGCAGGCGAGAGCGCGGACCCGGAGCCCGAACCCGAGGCGGACTACTACGCCAAAGAGGTCACCCGCGTGCTAATGGTGGACCGCAACAACGGTGAGCTCGGAGGGGCCGGGGAGCCGGGAGGGAGCCCGCAGGGGGCGCCGGAGTGCAGGGGTCATTGGGAGGAAATTACCGGCAGAGGAAACTGGCTGGAGGAAGGGGACCCCTGGGGGCGCGGGAAACGAGTGTGTGTGTGTCCCAAATTGGATAGCGTTTAGTCCCTACCACAGGTGTCTGCTGTTGGGGAGGAAGAGACAGTGAGCGAAAGTGGACCTCTTCTAGAGGGCGGCAAGATCGAGGCGAGAGTCCCCTTTAGAAGAGCATTTGTCACGTTTTGTCGTTTTTAAATTACCCTTACGGTGCTTAAAACTGCAGGGCTCGTTGGGATCCCTTTTAGAAAGGTAGAGCCCGGCTCAGGAGAATAGGAGGAACCCAGCATTTGGGAAAGGAGAGGCAGCGTGCAAAGCTGACGCTAGATCGGGTCGTGAGATAGAAGAGATTCAAGGACAGAAAAAGTAGGGGATGAGGACCCTAGAACTGCCAGATAAACTCTCAAGTGGACTCACTTCCAGAACGCGCCAGGCTCATGTTGGATAGGGAGATCTGTGGAGTCACCGTGGGGTTGCAAGTGATAAATTAATTGAAAAAAGGAAGTGAAGTTGTTGAGAGAAGGCTAATGGGAGAGGAGCGGAGGTGGTGCGGAAAACGAGCCCGGTGGTGTCACGGGTGTTTTGCTAAGGGACGTAAAAGAGCGCGCGAGCGGGCAGGCGAACCCCAGTGGAGGAAGTGAGCGAGTCCCCAAGAAATCTACAATACTGGGTTCATTGGAAAGGAGTCATAAAAAGTGGGAAGACTGGCGTGGGAAGATGGCCCCGCGGGGCAGGCAGGCGGGCGGGTGGAGCAGGGATACCGTGCCATCCGGGCGTGAGTGGTGAGCGCCCCTCGCCTGGGCGTGGAAGGGAGTGGCTAAGCCCTAGGAATCGAGCCCTAGGGGAGCGGCTAGGGGTTGTGGGGGGGGGGGGGAAGAGTCTGCAAAAACCCAAATGAGAAAACCGAGTCAGTAAGGGTGAGAAAGCCCCACGTGGGTGCCACGCGCGTGGGGAGGAGCCTGCGCTTCCTAAGGGGGTAAAGAGGACCCCACAGAGCTGAACACTGGCAGGCTGTGCCTTCCGAGTCCCAGTTCCTCCTAGGAGAGGCTGGGGAAAACCCAGCGTCCGGCCGCCTAGCTCTCCTCCCTTCCCTTTCCTTCCCGTGCCCGGGAGGTGGGGAGGCGGCGGGGGAGGGGGGGGGGATCGCTTGGAGCCTGGGGCGAGACGAGGCAGGTCCGGATCCCGCCCTCCCTAGGCTGTTAGTCTCCCGCCCTCCTCACTCCAGCAGTGGGAGAGGATACTCACAGCCCCGCCCTGTCGGCACCCACGAAACCCAGGCACTTTGCGTGACCCGGGAGCTTTAGGGAGCAGTAGCCCTCCAGGTTGCACATTGCTGTACCCAGCTGTGGCTACGACCTAATGACACCCCTCCCTGGGCCACTACTTAAAGTCACCTTTTCGATGGAGAAAGTCCTTTCCTCTCCCCTCAGACTGTATTTCTTCTCAAAGGCATTATCTCTTCCGGCATGTGCCTCCCCCATTTCCGTGTCTCCTCTCCCACATACCTACTCATCTCTTTGTCACTCCACCTCCCTCTGTGGCACCCATAATCCTTCCTGCCCTCCTAGCTCTCCCCTATCTGTTACCCCCAGATAGGTTCTTTCCCCTTCTTTTGAGGTTTGCTGAGTAACTGGACCAAGATTAGGGCCCGTAGAAAAAAGGAGGCACGGGGAAGAGGTGTCTTCTGTCTTTCCTTCATCGCTGTCTGGCACATCATCATCTCATCTCCACTGCAGGAAGCCAAATGCAGTTGCCGTAGTAGTAGTTGATTCAGGAATTCAGGATCTTACCCCTTCATCACCCACCCCCAACCCAAACATCCTCTAGCTTCCAGGAAGCCCTCTAGTGAATGGACCTCCATCATTCATTCTTACCTAGAAATACACTTCACGGCTAACTGGCCTGGAACTGGGCTAAAGGCGGAAGTAACTTATGACACCGATAATGGTAACATCGCACTGGCCAGGAAGTAGCAGAGGTTAGGGATTAAGACTAGAGTCTGCCAAGCGTAGTGGTCCGTGAGTGTAATCCCAGCACCCCAGGGGTAGAGGCAAAAGGATTACTTCAAGACCATCCTTGGATACATTATGAGTTTGAGATCCTGTCTCCAGAAACAAAACATAGTAAACGATCAGTCCCTGGAGCCAGTGGCTTGCATCTTCCCATGTTGTGAAGTGTCAATATCTTCATCTTCGTAAAGTGTTTTAAGTGATGTTTTTACCATTCACTGTATTCCCCTCACATCCTTTTAAAAAAATAAACAGAAAAAAAAAAAACAAAACCAAAAATATGGTCTCAACAGATACACATAGGCTAACATACCCCTGAAGATCTTCCTGACTCAGCTTCCTAAGAGCTGGTTGTAGACTTGCACCGGCTAGCATACTTTAGAGTATTGATGTGTGTATTACATCTTTAGCTTTGTCCTGTGTCTTGACTGCTTCTGTAATCCTGGAATTGGGTGGTGTCGAGTTAAAGAGAGGAATTGGCCCACCACAGGTTACACAGTGCTTCACTTAGAACAGCCTGGGTTGGGGGTCAGAACTTAACGGTACCACTGTTTTTCCAAAGATTGATGGGAGACTGGCCCAGCGATAGAGCACTAACCTAGGGTCCACCACAAAGGGGCTGGAGGTGTGTTTCAGCTGATGAGCTGTTGCCAGGAACCTGCTAGTTGAGCTGTGGGTGTGGTGCAGTGCAGGACCACCCGAGGCCGTGAGGCTGAGAAGCGACAAGGAGACTTTCTTGATCTCCCACATTGTGCCTGTGTCCCTTACTCTACAACTTCGTTTTGTTTGGTTTGAGACTTGGTCTCGTGGAGCCCAGGTGGGCGGCCCTTGGCAGCTGTATGCTTGAAGGGAACTTGACAGGTGATGCCTCATGGGATGGGTCAGACTTAGCAGAGATGAAGCACACCCAGACAAGGAGAAACCCTCCCCTGAGGTCAGCCAGCTAGAAAAATCAGTGCTGGCTGGAGAGATGGCTCAGCAGGGAAGAGCACTGGCTGCCTTTCCAGAGGGTTGCTGGAGCCCACATGGCAGCTCACAGCCATCTAGGCTGTTCTAGGGCATTTTGCACCCTCTTCTGTCCTCCACAGGCACCAAGTATGCACGTTGTACACACACACAGCCCGAACACCTGTATACACAAAATACAATTTAAAGTTAAAAAAAAAAGTATCAGGTGGACTGCGGACCTGGGGCTCTCAGGATCAGGGCTCATGGGCTCAGAAGTGGGGTGCCCCTGTTCCTCCCATCCTTATCACACACCTGATGCCTTCTCATTCTGCTCTTCCCCACCTAGCAATCTATGATAAAACCAAAGACATCCCACACAGTGTATATATGTTCTTCAATACATCAGACATTCGGGAAGCAGTGCCTGAACCCCCATTGCTGTCCCGGGCAGAGCTGCGTCTGCAGAGATTCAAGTCAAGTGTGGAACAACACGTGGAACTCTACCAGGTGAGGGTTTGAGCCTGAGAGGTAGCACACAGGCCATCAGTGCAGAGGTGTGGCCAGGTGGCCCAGTTTTGAAGGCTACAGAGTCTACATAGCCAGTCCTAGAGGACAGAAGACAGAATGTGGAGTCCTAGAGTTTTTTGAAACTCTTAGACTACATCTTATTAGCTGAATTTGGGGGGCTGAACTCTAAAAATGCAGAAAGAGCCAGGAGATGGATATCTGTGTTTGTATATACTTGCCTAGAATCCCCCAATGAGGGGCTGGGGTGTGGCTTAGTGGTAGAGCACCTGCCTAGAATCCCCACAGTGAGGGGCTGGGGGTGTGGCTCTTCCTCCCCCAGTGCTGAGATTAAAGGTGTATGCCACCACTGCCTGGCCAAAAATCAATTTTTAAGCCCGAGTGTGGTGGCTCACACTTTTAATCCCAGCATTCAGGAAACAGAGGCAGGAGGATCTCTGTGAGTTGGAGGCCAGCCTGGTCTACATAGTTAGCTCCAGAACAGCTAGGGCTACATAGAGAGACCAGGCCTTAAAAAAAGAAATCCAGTGCTGGAGAGATGGCTCAGGCGGTTAAGAGCACTGGCTGTTCTTCCAGAGGTCCTGAGTTCAATTCCCAGCAACCACATGGTGGCTCACAACCACCTATAATGAGATCTGGTGCCCTCTTCTGGCCTGCAAGGACACATGCAAATAGAACACTGTATACATAATAAATAAATAAATAAATAAATAAATAAATAAATAAATAAATAAATAAATAAATCTTTAAAAAAAAGAATCTGAAGTAAGGCTGAGTGATGGTGGCACACTCCGTTAAAAAAAAAAGAAATCCATTTTTGGGAAGACTGTTCTGTAAATGCACAATAATAATTATAAACAAAGTAATAAACTGTAAGCAAATAAATGAGAAAATTACCACTCTCCCAAAGGCAGGATGTCAAAAATTGCTGAACCGTCTGCTCAGTAATATGAGCAACAACCATGTGCATTGTGGGCCATCCCAGATGCCATGGTTGATCATTCCACCGTGGAAGAAACTGAGGCTCAGAAAGGGAGAGATGTACCCATGGCTCTCAGGCTGGGGTACAGGCTAAGGTGCCTCATGGTGTCTTGACCACAGCCTGGGTTGTTTTTCTCCCATCTGCTTTCTGCTCTTGGGGGCTCTATGTGAGGGTGGAGTCTGCAGGGCTCCTAGTGTGACATGTTCAAAGCCAGTGTCTGTCTGGGCATTATCTGGAAGCCACCTTGTGGGGACAGGCAGCACAGGGTTGCAATCAGGGTATCTGGGGGCATGATGGCAGCTACCCACTCCTCTTTGCTTTGTTTGTTTCCATTCAGAAATACAGCAACAATTCCTGGCGTTACCTTGGTAACAGGCTGCTGACCCCCACCGATACGCCTGAGTGGTTGTCTTTTGACGTCACCGCAGTCGTACGGCAGTGGCTGAACCAAGGAGGTGAGATTGCTTGTCTGTGCCCACCTCCAGTGGGGTCAGCCCTAGTGCTTGTCTTGGCATCACCGGTGATGCCAAGCACCCCCTCATCCCAACCACACAAACCTGATAATGTCAGAAAGTACTCCACAGTTCTCACCGATGGATCAATCGGTGATTGATTGTGATTCCCTGAACTCTGCCAGGTGATGCTAGGGACGCAGCAGTTCCCAAACAGCTCCTATCTTTGCCCTCAGTAGACCTCATGGTCCTTTGGATAATTGAAGGAAGAACCGACTTCCGGCTAGGTAGTGATGACTCAGAGTGGAGAGGGCTAGAGTTGAGTACTCAGGAGGTGCCTGACTGTCTGTATTCAATCTGCATTCAAGGAGGGCTTCCTGGAGGAGGGGGCATCTGAGGTAATATCTGTGTGATGGGCAGAAGCAACCAGGAAAAGGAGATACAAGAGTGCCCTGTATCAAGGCTCTGCAGCCAGGGAGATCCTAACATGTTTGTCTGTCAAGGAGGAAATAGTCTTTCCCTGTCTCTGTCCGAAGTACTTGGGTCTGCTGTCTTCTCTCGTCCTTAGATTCATTCAGTAAATGCCACAGCTTTCGGTTGTGTCTCAGCTGGAGGCTGAGAAGGACACAGTCATAACCTGGGTCCTGGCCTCACAAGGCCCACGAGGTCTCTCCAGACATCAGTAAGGTCTTACCAAAGCCCTAGCAGTTAGTAATGGCCCAGAAGGGAGACCTACCTACACAGAGCAGGCAGGGCGTAGATGAGGGAAACCCAAGGTGCTGTAAAAACCCAGGGCAGCTTAGGATCTGGGAGGACTTCCTGGATGAGCGTGAGTGTGGAGAGACTCATGGGATGTGTGGTTTAGCCAGAGGGATGATGGGATTGAGCAGGCTGACACCAGGAAGAATGATGAAAACCATTGGACAGAGGCCTAGAAGGATCTCTTCTCTCTCCATTGATGTTGAGTCTGAAGCATCCAGTGCAAGGCCTGGTATACAGTAGGAGCTTAAAAGTATCACTTATGTGTCCACTCAAGAAACATCTCCCATAGCCAGGTGGTGGTGGCGCACGCCTTTAGTCCCAGTGCTCGGAAGGCAGGGACAGATAGATCTCTGAGTTCAAGGTCAGCCTGGTCTACAGAATGAGTTCCAGGACAGCCAGAGCTACACAGAGAAACCCTGATTCAGGGAAAAAAGAAAAAAAAGGAAACATCTCCCTTGGGCTAGTAAGATGGCTCAGCAGGTAAAGGTGCGTGCTGCCAAGCTTAACGGCCTGAGTTCCATCCCCAGGACCCATATGGTAGAAGGAGAGGGCAAACTCCTACTAGTTAACCTCTGACCTCCACACACATCCTGGTGCATGTGCGCTCCCCACAACAAATAAATAAAATTGGCCAAATGAGCAATTTATTATATAAAAAAAAAAAGTCTACCAGTGCAGGGTAGAAATCGGCTTATGTTTACACCGTGCCTTTGCCTATGGCCCCCTATGTGGCCTTGGCCAAGTCACTTCCTTTTTGTGTGCTTTCATTTCCTGGCCTATAAAATTGAGGTGTTTGAAGATTAAAGGACCTTACACAGAGTTTAGATCAGGGCCTGGCACCTGCGTTAGGTCTCAACTCACCACTGTACCAACACTGCTTCTGGCCCTTGGCACCTGGATCCCAGGGGGAGTGTTTATTTTTATGACTGAGGGATCAGGTTTTGCAAGGCACAAAGAAAACAGGGGCCCAAGACAACATGCGTGATGGTACACAAGCCTACCAAACCCTGCACTTGGGAGGCAGAGTCAAGAGGTTCAGGAGTTCAAGGACATTCTTAGACACATAGTGAGTTTGAGAATTTGAGGCCAGCCTGAGCTACATGAGACCCTTTCTCAAAAGAAAAAGAGAGCTGGTTCAGTGGGCAAGAGCTTTCTCATTGTAAGAATGAGAACCTAAATTCTAATCCCCAGCACCCATGTGAAAACCCAGACATAGCATATACCCGTAACCCCAGTATTGTTGGGGGTTGAGTGTATGTGTGGAGACAGGCATACACACAGCTCTGTGGCCAGCTAGCCTAGCCAAAGGAGCAAGCTCAAGTTCAGAGAGCTGTCTCAAGACGGTAAGGGGGAAAGCAATTGAGGAAGACACCCAACACTGAGCTGTAACCACACACACATACACACACACACACACACACACACCTTATATAATTATTCTGTATCTCCATATATATATCACATATATATAAAATAGGCATTTATATATGTGTTTGTGTGTGTGTGTGTGTGTGTGTGATTTTTTTTAAAATGAAAGAAGGCAGGGAATGGATCTCTCCCATGCATGTTCTGAGAACAATGAAAGACGTAAATAGTCAAGCAGAAATGGCAGAGCCCCTGCCTGCGATGGAGAAAGTGAAGGGATGTCACAGTGTGAGAGGCATGTGTCTCTTTCAGAGCCTCTCCGAGGGAGGGATTGATGCTTGAGCTCAGCCCTGAATAAGGGAGAGAAGGTTCCAGCAACTCAAAGAATAGGAGCAAGAGTGAAGTGTGGGGCGACACAGGAAGGAGCCCCTGGGGTTGGCAGCTTCCGGCCTCCTCCCTCAAGCCGGATGAGTCATAACCTCAGACTCCTTCCCTCTCCCACAGACGGAATACAGGGCTTTCGCTTCAGCGCTCACTGCTCTTGTGACAGCAAAGATAACGTACTCCACGTGGAAATCAACGGTGAGCCAGCTTCCCGGGTCCAGCCCGCTGCCTGCTGTGGCCTCTGTGCCTGTGCATGCATGTTGAAATCTCATTTGCTCCTTGTTCACCCACACATTCCTCTAAGTGTGTGTATGTCTTTCACCCCAACATCCAAACCCAAACAGGGATCAGTCCCAAACGTCGAGGTGACCTGGGCACCATTCATGACATGAACCGACCCTTCCTGCTCCTCATGGCCACCCCACTGGAGAGGGCCCAGCACCTGCACAGCTCAAGGAACCGCAGAGCCCTGGATACCAACTACTGCTTCAGGTGAACTTCTCTGCCTCCCACTGAGGCTGTGCAAGCCTGGGGCTTGACTGCAGTCTGTGGACTGGTGTGCCACCACCATTGATGCCTGCTTAGTACTTTTAGCCTGGAGGGCTTGGGGACGAGTTCCTGATTCTGTGGGCAGCTGGGAGTCCTAGAATAATGGGGTGTTTCCTTGCAGGAGGGTTGGGATCAGGGAATTCAGGAAGGTTGGCACAAGAGTTAGAAGTCTGTGTTGGAAGGTCAGCTTGTTGGATTTTAAGTTCTGGATAGCGGGATTTCTGCCATATTGGAATTCTAAATGAAAGAAGGATTTAATGTGAGCAATTGGGTGTTGACTTCAGGAAAGCAGGACTGTTGGGATCCTAGCATTTGGGTTCAGAATCAGAAAGTGGTCTGCGTTAGGTTCCCGCACTCTTGTCAGACTGTGGTCTGCTGGCTGATGCAGAGTGGGGTGAATCCTGGGCTCGGAATGGTGGGGTCTGGTGCGGGGATGTTAGCACCAAGGCTGGAGGTGGAGAAAGCCAGAATGCGAGTCTCTTGGTCAGTGCACTTGATCTTGTAATGTGGCCGCCTGAGGAAGTCAGGAGGTGAGACTTCCCGAGACGTAGGCCGAGAGGTTGGAGTGTTGGAGTACAGCATTGAAATAAGAGACTCTAAGACAGGGGTCATCTAGAGTCAGAAAGTGGGGCTTCTGGAGCGTCCAGATTGCTGACAGAATGGCAGACTCTGTTTGTTTGTTATTTTTAAATTATATTTGTGAGCGTGTGTGTTTGTGTGTGTGTGTGTGTGTGTGTGTGTGTGTGTGTGTGTGTGTGTGTGTGTAGGGGCACCCGTGTCACATGACAGTCAGAGGACAGTCTTTGGGAGTCAGTTCTCTCCTTCCACCATGTGGTCCCAGAAGTAGAACTCGGGTGATGAGGATTGGCAGCAAGTGCCTTTCCCCACCAAGCCATTTTGGAGCCCTGCTTTGCTCTGTTTTTGTTTCAGACGGGGCTTTGCTGTGTATTCCAGGCTGGCCTCAAATTCACTTCTTTAGCTCAGGCTGGCTTGAACTCTCTGGCCTGGGATTATAGGTGTGTACAACTGCTCGGTTCCAGAATGGTGAACTCATACCAACCCACTCCTGATGCGAGAAAGTTGAAATGCTAGATCTTAGAGGGTTTGAAATCCAGGGTTCGAGTGTTGAGAGATGAGAGCAGTAAGCCAACCTGCCCCTCCTTCTCTTCTTCAGTCTGCATAGAGTGTGGTACTCCGAGGCAGCCCTTGGCTGGACTCAGTCTACCTCCTTGGCACCGTCACCACCTTTTGCTATCAGTCTTCACATAGGAACAGATGAATAAGAGGACAGGTACAAGCTCTGTTCCCCCACACCGGAGAGCAAACCTAGGGAAACATGAAAATCTCTCTCTGTTTTGGCTGTGCCTGATGTATGTATATGTGGGCTCTGGAAATCCAGACTCAAGTTCATGCTTGCATAAGCAAACACTTGACTCCCGGAGCCATGTCCCCGGCTGTGACAACCAAGATTATGCATGGAAGGGCACGGTGCCACTTGGGAAGGCTTGTCAAATAGAGTGACCATGATCTGATGGGGACTGTAGCTGCCAACTACTGTGTTTCCCTGAAACAGGGACAGACAAACAATACGAAGCAGCACCACAGGTGGTGGGAATACAGATACCTAGCAGAATACAGATGGTGGGAAACCTTGTCAGTTTCTTCAACAAATACAGTACAGAGAGGGAGGGGGAAATATATAGTCAACAGCACTGGAAGAGAGGGAAAGAGAGGTAGGAAGAGAACAGGGGAGAAAAAGAAAGAAAGGGAAAAGAGACATAAATGGAGTATTTTGGGAACTATGAACTTTGAGCAGTATTTGATTTTTAGTAAGTTGCTACTAAATTTTTACCTAGGATTTTATTGTTGTTGTTGCTGCTTTTGTGATTCTGAGGAGGGAACCCAGCACCTTATGCATGGTAGAGAAGCAGTCTCCCACACCCCCAGCCCCTCACTGGGGGATTCTAGGCAGGGGCTCTACCACTGAGCCACATCCCCAGCCCCTCACTAGGGGATTCTAGCAGGGGCTAGAGTCACTGAGCATACTGATTTATACTTTTGGCTCACGTTTACATTTTTAAAATATTCTTCACTTTCTTAGAGAAAGTGAACTTTTCTACAAAAGCCAAATAAACAAATGAAAAGAATATAGGAAGTAGGTAAAATGAAATTAGCCACAAGTTGGCAACTGTTGACACTTACAATTGTGAGGATGTGAACTAGTTAAGAATCCAAATTCAGTTGGGCAGTGGTGGCGCACGACTTTAATCCCAGCACTTGGGAGGCAGAGGCAGGCGGATCTCTGTGAGTTCAAGGCCAGCCTGGTCTACAGAGTGAGTTCCAGGACAGCCAGGGCTGTTACATAGAGAAACCCTGTCTCAAAAAACAGTATGAAAAACAAAAACAAAATCCATAATTCAGAAGTCCAGTATTTAGCTGGCCATGGTGGACACAGCCATAATCCCAGCACTGGGGTAGTAGAGGCAGAGAAGCAAGTTATATAGTGTGTTTGAGGCAACCTGGACTGCATTATTAGACCCTGCATCAAGAAAAGGGTAGGGTGTCTGGAGAGCTGGCTCAGCTGTTAAGAGCATGGACTGCTCTTGCAGAGGACCCAGATTCAGTTCCCAGCACCCACATGGTGGCTCATAACAATCCATAGATTCCAGGGAATCTGATTCCTTTTTCTGGCTTCTGTGGGCACCGCACATACAGGGTACACACACATCTGTGCAGGAAAACACTCGTACACATAAGAATGTTTTTAAATAGCCAGGTTTGATGGCAAACGTCTCTAATCCCAGCACTCAGCAGGCAGAGACAGGCAGATCTCCATTTGAGTTTGAGGCCAGCCTGGTCTGCACAGCAAGTTTCAGGACACTACGCAGAGAGAGCCCGTCTCATAAAATATGAATAATAATAAAAATAAAATAAATGGTGAGCGGTACTTAACCTTTGATAAAGGCTATGTAAACATCCCCGTATCCCAAAAAGTTGTACAATCTGAAATGCTGCTTCTCGTCAGGTATTCAGTTTGTATTGTAACAGTCTCCAGAGTGGCAAAGGAGGCTTGAGAAAGTCACTGTGCGACTGGGCAACCCCTAGGACTACCTCCCAGGAAGCCCTGGTATGTCGTGGTCACCTGGAGAGCTGTTCTTCAGCCCAGCACCTATGGTTCAGCAGGAATGAGCAGGTTGAGTCCACAGGGACCTCAGTGTCAAGAGTTGGGAATTCTGTGGCTCTTGTCCTGGGGGTTGCTCATGATCACTCCCCTTGCAGCCACATTGTCCTGTTGTGTCTTCTTCCAGAATTTCTCCCTGTGGTATACCTACGTATATCCTTGGATGCTTTGCTTTTCGTTGTTTGAAACAAGGTCTCCTTATGTAGCCCTGTCTAGCGTGAAACTTCCTGAATAGACCATGGCTTCAGACTCGAAGCATTCTCATTTCTGCTTGCTTATTGCTGGAATTAGAGAGAGAGAGAGAGAGAGAGAGAGAGAATGAATCGGTAGTAAAAACAATGCTGAAATATTCTGAGAAGGAAAATAAATCTGGCAAAGGGGCCAGGTTAGAAGCAAGGCCAGGAAAAAATGAATATTAGAAGCCAAGTGTGGTAGTACACATTTGTGATCCCAGCACTTGAGAGGCAGAGGCAGGAGGATCGGGAGTTTAGGGTCAGCCTTGGCTACAAAGGGACTTGGAGTCTAGCCTTAGCTACATGAAAGCCTGTCTCAAAAAAGGAAAACAAATAAACAAAAGAAATATTGGGAAGCCCAGTGGTGGTGGCGCACACCTTTAATCCCAGCGCTGAGGAGGCAGAAGCAGGCAGATCTCTGAGTTTGAGGCCAGCCTGGTCTAGAATGAGTTCCAGGACAGCCAGGGCTACACAGAGAGACCCTGTCGAAAGGAAGGAAGGCAGGAAGGAAGAAGACTATTTAATTTTCCTATTCTGATCCAGACTGCGCTACAGTGGAAATTTCAGATAGAAGCAGCAGAGGTAATATAGCCCTCTTCCAGCATCTAACATTGTCACGATTTTTTTAACAGTTTTTTTTTTTTTTTTTTTTTTGGTTTTTCGAGATAGAGTTTCTCTGTAGCTTTGGAGCCTGTCCTGAAACTCACTCTGTAGCCCAGGCTGGCCTCGAACTCACAGAGATCAGCCTGCCTCTGCCTCCTGAGTGCTGGGATTAAAAGCGTGCGCCACCGCCGCCCGGCATTGTCAGGATTTTTGACCCACTTCAAATATGGACAGTTTGGGGCTGGAGAGATGGGTCAGCAGTTAAGCTGTTTTTCCAGAGGACCCGGGTTCAGTTCCCAGCACTCTCCATGGTCACTTACAAGGACAACCATCTACAACTCCAGTTCCAAAGTACCTGGCACCTTCTTCTGGCCTCCTTGGGCGTGGCACACACATGGTACACATAAAACTTACTACGTAGGCACACACGTACACACAAATAAAAATGAATACATAAGTCTTTAAAATATAGAAAAAGCCAGGTGTGGTGGCGCACGCCTTTAATCCCAGCACTCGGGAGGCAGAGGCAGGCGCATCCCTGAGTTCGAGGCCAGCCTGGTCTTTAGAGCCAGGGGACAGCCAGGGATACACAGAGTAACCCTATCTCAAAACAAACAAACAAACAACATCAAAAACCTACAGAGTTTCACATTTTCTTGTAATAATTGTAGCATTAAATTCCCAGGATGGAATTTAACAGTTGTTTCGGTGGACACTTTGGGGGGTAGTGCACAAGGCCCATTAGAGAAGGCTGTGTTGATTTGTGTAATGGATACTTACTGAGCATCTGCTGCGCCCAGGCGCTGTTTTCAGGCGTTAAAGATCCCTGGGTGATAGATAGTTGAGCTAAGGTGGATAAACACGTTTCTATATATTTATTTGTTTGTTTTGATGCAGGGTTTCACCATGTAGCCGTAGCTGGCCTGGAACTCCCAGAGATCCAACTCTTCCTGCTTCTCTGCTGGGGTTACCGCCATGTACACTGCCATGCATGGGTTTATTTTTATATGTTGTTGGTTGTTCTTTAACTCTTTTGGGGGGCCTGCCACCCAACTCTCAAAGAAATCACACACAGAGGCTTTTCTTAATTATAAATGCCTGGCCTTAGCTTGGCTTGTTTCTTGCCTGCTTTCCTTAAATTATCCTGTCTACCTTTTGCCTCTGGGCTTTTACCATAATCTTATTTGTGTAAATCTTACTCTTACTCTGTGGCTGGCTGGGTGGCTGAGTATAGCTGACCCCTAGCATCCTCCTTTCCTCCTGGATCTCTCCTGCTCCCAGATTTCCACTTCTATTTATTCTCTCTGCCTGCCAGCCCCGCCTATCTTTTCTCCTGCCTGTTCAAGTCTTTATTAGACCAGTGGGTGTTTTAGACAAGCAAAGTATCACAGCTTCACAGAGTTAAACAAATACAACACAAACAAAAGTAACACACCTTAAAATAATATTCCCCAACATTTATATTCTATCATTATTATTTTATGAGTGCACACACACACACACACACACACACACACACACACACACACACCGTGGCACACATGAAGAGGGCAGAGGACAACTTTGTGGAGCCTGTTCTTCCATGTTTATGTGGGTTTGGGGAGCCACACCCAGGCTATCAGGTTTTCAAGGCAGGCTTCTTTATCTGCTAACCCTGAGCCAAGCTTAAATGAACTAAGTAAAGGAAGAAGTCAGGCTAACAACACGTGCAAAGGCAGAGGTAGGATCGATTGTGTTTTGGCTTTTTGAGACAGTCTCACGTAGCTCAAGCTAACCTCAAACTCACTATGTCTCCAAGGAGGACATTGAATTTCTCATCATCCTGCTTTATCTCCCAAGTGCTGGGATTGCAAATGTGTGTCCCCCACGTCTGGCTAGGACTGTGTCTGGGGACTAGAAAGGAAGCCTTTGTGGCTGACGTGAAGGTGGGCGAGAGAGGATGCTGAGGGAAGCCAGATGCACCTGTGACTCATGGTGATAACTTAGGCATTGGCTATAAACAGGACATAGGAGTGATGTGACAAGCAAGTGGCCCCCGAAGGTAGCAGTCTGTTTTGTTTGTGCCATCCAGCATCACAGGGCCTCACAGAGTAGTGGCTCAGTAAACATTCATTGTACTAACAGGACATGTCAGCACACGTGGGGCCCTGGGATGACTCTTCTGTGTTCCATGTATGGATGTGACATGATTTTATTATGTCCTCCCCTTGAGTGCTCGTGGGGCTTTCTCAGTGCTTGCTGTGAGCCCTGCAGATACTTACTAAAGTCTCAGTGCTGCGCTCAGTGGGATGTGCTTCGCCAGCAGGCCAGGATGGTTGCTCTCAGTGTTACTGTTACCACAGGAGTCTTGGGGAGGCTGAGCTGAGGGCACCCTACAGGCTGGAGGGGGCAGCATGGCTGTCCCTGCTCCTAACCTGCATTCCTCCTGCCCACAGTTCCACGGAGAAGAACTGCTGTGTGCGACAGCTGTACATTGACTTTCGGAAGGACCTGGGCTGGAAGTGGATCCACGAGCCCAAGGGCTACCATGCTAACTTCTGTCTGGGGCCCTGTCCCTACATTTGGAGCCTGGACACACAGTACAGCAAGGTGGGTCTGGCTCATGGGACAGGATGGAGCAAAGGCTGGGGCGGTGGGGAGAGAGAGAGGTTGGACCAGTGCGGAGTCAGCGGGATAGGGCGAAAGGGAAGCAGACGAGACAGAAATAGGGAGAGGCAGAGGATAAGGACAGATGACAGATAAGAGAGACAGACAGAGCAATGGGAAGAGAGAGATGGGAGAGACAGAGATAGAAATAGACTGGGAGAGATAGGGAGACAGAGATGGAAGTTGGGGAGAGACTCAGATAAGAGACATAGAAATGTAGAGATACTGGTGGGGAGAGCCCGTGGACCCTGGTCGTGACCCTGGCCCGCCCGCAGGTCCTTGCCCTCTACAACCAACACAACCCAGGTGCTTCGGCGTCACCGTGCTGTGTTCCACAGGCGCTAGAGCCGCTGCCCATCGTGTACTACGTGGGCCGCAAGCCCAAGGTGGAGCAGCTGTCCAACATGATCGTGCGCTCCTGCAAGTGCAGCTGAGGCCCCGCCCCGCCCCGCCCCTCCCGGCAGGCCCGGCCCCGCCCCCGCCCCCGCCCCGCCCGCAGCGCCCGGGGCTGTATTTAAGGACACCTGCACCCCCAAGCCCACCTGGGGGAGGGTGTCCATTAAAGGTGAGAGACGACTGGTGGTCTCCCGTGTTATTGGGTGCCGGATTGCATCTCCCTCCTTGCTGAGGCTCCAGCGCCTTGTGCCATCTTGTGCCGCTGTCTCCAGTACTCCTTACCTAGCCTGCTTTCAAAACTCCAGGCTTCCTGTGGGCAACGCTGGCTGGCGCCCAGTGGAAACCCCTGCTGGACTCAGGGATCGAGCTCCTTCGGCGCTGTTCACAGTGCCTTATACCTCGGAGCATTGGCTGAGACAATCCTGGAGAGCCTGGGGTCCTGCTGCTGCCTGGGATGAGGATGAAGAAGAGCTAAAAATACCCGTTCAGCTGGTTGTGGTGTCCCACGTGATGACTCCCAGCACTCAGGCAGAGGCAGGGGGATCTCCTGGTTTGAGGCTAGCCAGGGCTATATGGTGAGACCCTGTGTCAAGCAACCAACAACAAAATACTGGTTCAAAGTGGGGTGTGTGGTGCCGTAAATGCCAGCATTGGGAAGGCAGGAGGAAAAGGAACTCTGGGCTACATAGTGAATTGGAGATCAACCTGGGCTATCAGACCGGGTCTGAAAACAATTCAGTGGCTGGTGGTGGTGTTGGTGACTATGTAGCAGAGTTGAAAAGCTTGGGGTGGGGGTTGGGGAGAGGCAGAGCTACAGGGAGGAAGTGGCATTTGAGACTCGAAGGAAGTTTAGGGGGGGCTCACGCTTGGAAGACCGGAAGTGACAGGTGACAACCACCTTGGGGTGTACCAACCAGTGAGGAAAGAGACCAGTGTGACTGAAGAGAGCAAGGGAAGGGAGATAGGGGCTGAGTCAGATCTGAGCCAGCACAAGGCTGGGAGTGACAACCCTCCTACATGTCAGGTGTGTGGCTGCCCTCCCTGGCTCACCGCACTCTTCCCACGGCCTAACGGAGCAGGGCTTGGCAAACGTTGGCCCAAAGCCTACCCCAGCCTACCACCTGTTTCTGTAAATAAGTTCCGTTCGCCCACAGCCACGCTTGCTGCTTCCTCCACATAACGTTTGTAGCCATGTTACTGCTGGTGCAGCATAATCGATGTACGCAGGCCCAGAAATACCCCCTGGCCCTTCAGAACAAGCCTGCCAAGATGGGTGTGGTGATACATGCCTGTGATTTCGGCAGGAGGCAGAGGCAGGAGGATCACTGCAAGTTTACAGCCAACCAGAGCTAAATAATATGGAGAGTCTTGACTCAACATTTCCCATTCTCTCCAAAAGCTTGCTTTTTTGGTGGGTGGGTGGGGGGACTGTTTGCCCTTTACATGTAGAAGTACTGACCTGCAGGAGCCCTTATTTTTTAAATCCACTCTAGAGCTAGTGAGTGGCAGAGCTGGGATTTGAACCCAGGGTTTGCACATGTACCTAAAACTGCTTTCTTCATCATATCAAGAGTAAAGGACCCCAAAAGAACTTGGGGGACACAGGAGCATGAGCAGATGACCTTAGAAACTGAATTCAGGGACTTAGTTTCTGGTAAGTCACTGAGAGGAGAGGGAGTGTGTGGTGTGAGCATAACCTTGGGAAAATGAGTTGTCTAGGCAAGAAATACCCGTGGCCTGAGCCCAGCGGGCCCTGTGCCATTTCACCCCTTCCCATCTGTTGGGGTGAGTTTGTGAATTCTTTCCTGCTTCCTCTTTCTCCATCCAGTTTCCTTTCCCCCGAGTTTCACTTCCCTACCCTCTGCCTTTCTCATGCCCCTGGGGCTCCTGGACTTGCTTTTCACTCAGGGAATGTCCGGGAGGGAGGCTGATGGAGGGCAGATTTCCTTTGATCTGTAGCTGACCGCTGACCTGACCGACCGCACTGAGACAGGGTGAGTAGGTTCTAGCCTCCCCACCTCTTCCCATTCTGAGTCTGAGAGCCTCCGAGGACCAGGTTGGGGTTGGCTTGGCAGCAGGACGATCTCACTCTGTAAGGACATTTGTCATCGCCACTAGCTCACACTGAGGCCTGGCCTCAAGAGGGAGAGACATAAGACATAACAATCACTGGAGCCCCTCAAGAACTGCTCAACACTCCCACCACTTCCAGCAGAAGCCAAAATATGGACAGTGTCCCACAACCACACAAACACATTCACTTCTCAGGACTAGTGACACCTGGCCGCCATCACAGACCACACATACACAGACTATAAACAGCCCAGCCCTGGAGCCCCACAAGGACCCGACATAAGTAGAGAGTTTGATAGAAAAGGCTGCCACACAAATACATTCCACAGGGCCATGGTTCCTCCACATGCCAGACAGATTCACAGTGTCACACACACCAGACACACATCACAGCATCAGAGCCCTTTTTTGGAAACAAGACTCCCCCCAGCAGTTACACAAACATCCTCCACAGGGTCATGGTCATTGCGTGACCCATCACAAACCCACTCATACCACACACACTGAGCTTTTATACACGTCACAACTCTGGCCAGACTACCAGCAGGTCACAGCTACCGTCTGGCACCCTTCACACACACCCACTTGCCTGGGGAGTCCCAAGTGGCCTCACAGATCCAGACACAGTCACACCCAGGATCCCAGACGTAGCAGCTCCCACGCACCCAGACACACCCCCAGGATTGCCGAGCCCTTACAACAGACCTTTACCCTGGAGCCTGCTTGTGGACATGACAAGTGCTGGCTGTGCCCCATGCTCTGCCCACCTGCCTGTTGCTCCTAGGCAGGCCTGGCTGCTGGCAGGCCTGGGGGAGGGTAAATGCAGGCTCAGCACTTCTGCTGGCCCTTGTGCTGCCCTGCTGCCCTGACACTTGGGTTCAACGGGTGGCCTGACCCAGCACAGCTGGGACACAGCTACCCACAAACATCTACCTCAGGCAGGACAGGGCACAGGGTCGCCGAGTAGTCCCGACCCTTAGGCACCAGGGACATGGGGGAAGTTGTGGGGGGGAAGCCTGGGTTCCGGCTGGAGCCCAGGTTTCCCGTCCAGCTTCCAGAGCAGGAAGCAGCCAAGGAGGCCTGCACAGGCCTTCCTGCCCCCCTCCTGGACCTGCTGGGTCTGGGTGGGGGGAGGGGGAGAGAGACAGGAAGAAGATTCCCCTTGAAGCCTATTCCCTGGCATAGACTGTACCAATGTGTTTTGTTCCTAGAGTGACCTTACAGGTGTTCAGAGCGTATGTGCTCTCTGTGTGTGTCTCTGCCCACCCCCTCCCCCTCCCCCCTTTCCCCCTCCCCCTCTCCCCCCCCCTCTCTTCTCTCCCCTCTCTCTCCTCTCCCCCCTGAGGGCTTTTGGCCTGCATGGCATTGTCAGTTTGGGGTGTGTGTTTCCAGCACGTGTTCAGCTCTGTGTTTGTGGCTAGTACCACATTTCTGCTGAGTGCCTGCCACTTCATAGTTCGGCTGGACAAGCTGGGATACTGTTTGTGGGTTCTCTGCTGGCACTGTTTGCTGGTGAGAGAGTATACCAGTGGGCTGCGTATCTGGGATGCGTTTTGAGTCTGATTCCGCGCCCCACCCCCAGCATCTTCACAGTTCTCTGGGTGTAAATGTTTGCAGTTAGTGTCAGTTCTACTTGAAACCGGGGTGTTTTCTGCGTGTTTGCTGGTCTGTGAAGGGTTTTTTTTTGGGAAAGGTGGTGTGTGTTTTGTTTCTTACATGAGCTGTTTTTGATGCACACCAGTGTTTGTGTCTCTTGTGGGTGGGTGATTTGTAATTGTGTGTGTGTGCTTTAAGAGTTAGTTTAATGTTTTTAATTATATGTGTGGGAGGGTGTAAGTGTATGTGAGTGCTGGTTCCAGTGGAGGTCAGAGGCATCAGAATCTCCCGGAACTGGAGTGACACGGTAATAGTGAGCTTTACCCGACATGGGTGCTGAGAACCAAACCTAGACCCTCTGGAAGAGGTGTATAAAGGCTGCTAACTGCTGAGGCATCTCTCTGGCCCATCGAGAATGCTGAAGTTGGAACTAGGACTTCAAGTGTGCTGGGGAAATCATTTTACTACTTAATCACATCTTCAGCCTCAGGGTTACATGTAGCCCGGGCTGGCTTTGAACTTGAACTCTTAGGTCTCCTGCTTCTCTTTGTAGAGTGCTCGAATTACAGGTTTTATGCAGCATTGTACTGACTAAGTCATACCCCCAGCTCAGGGGGCTGCATTTTGTGCATTAGAGTGTTTTGTTCATAATCCAACACATAGTTCACAGTTTGTATCCATGGTGTGTCTCCAACACACTATGGCTCTTGGTGTCTGTGCGAGAGGCCATGCTGGGCTCTGAGGCCTGCATCTCCTTTTAGACTGACATGGGGGGCGGGTGTCTGAGCAGATGGGGAGTCGGCATTGGTGTGCCCACCCATGGGCTGGTGAATTCAGTATGTGAGTTGTATGGGTCACTTTTGAGAGTGTTTGGAGGTGTCAACACTAGGATTGTGGTGGGTGTGGGTGGGTGTGGGGGAGGCCTTCACCGTGTGCTGGTGTTTTCAAAGGAGGGAACTTCCTATCTTGTGAGGCCATTGGCTGTCGTGTTACCAGTGCTGGTTGGCCTTTGTGCTGAGTGGAGCCTGTCTGCGGTGTCCCCTTGCTGGCGGGTGCCACGCTGGCTCAGGGCTGGCTGTGGCAGCGGGCAGGGCAGGGCAGGGCAGGGGCTGTGGTGGGCACTGGCTTTATGCCCAGCCTGAGTATAAATATCCCCAGGCTGCCCGCTGCTGTTTACTCGGCCCCAGCAGGTCCTTGGTGGTGGTGGTGGTGGTGGTGGGGTGACCAGGCCACAGCACAGACATTTCCTTCTGCTCAGACAGGCCAGCAGCTCTCGTGGGTGGGGACAAGGTGGTGACCCTTTGTTTTAGGTTCCTAGGGGCCACCAGTGGAACTCTGCCCTGGATTTCCCAGGGTCTGGGAGACAGACAGAGAAGGAGATGGACCAGGAGACAGCAGGGAGAGGGACAGGAAAAAGTGAGAGTGGAGGCCGGCAGGGAGGCGGGTAGAGGGGGCGGGCTGCAGACACTAGCAAGAACTAAGAGCCTGGTGACGAGGAGGGACATAGAAGTGTGTTTGAGGGACCGAGAGCAGAGGGAGAAAAGGGAGAGGAGGATGGGAGACATGGGGTCACAGATGGGAGAGGAAGGAAATGTGGGCAGTGTGGGGTAGGCAGGGACCTCTCCAGAAAGGAGCCGGGTTGGGGGAGCAGGCAGGCAGAGAGGTAGGGGTAGGCATTAGAGACCAGGCCAGGCCAGGCCAGACAGGAGACATGGAGGTGGAGGCCGGATGCTCTCCCCTCCCTGACTCAGCCTCTCCGCCCACCCCATCCCCAGGACCCAGATCAGAGGCAGAGGCGCCAGCCACCGTGGGGGCTGCTCAAGCAGGGTGTGCCTTTGCTGTCTGCCCCCTCCTCTGTCTCCACCTTTCTGCCTGTCTCCTCATCTAATCCCAGTCCTTGTGGCCGGCTCCACCTCTGTCTCTCATTTGCAGACTCAACCATCTGACTAACCCCAGATACTGACTCAATGGCTGTGCGGCTCAGCTTTTTTTAAAAAGTTACATAACAGATTGATGGATGATAGCCTTTCTATCTTAAATAAATTTAACAATCAGACAGAATACTGGTCAACCGTGAAAATACATAAGCTAACACAAACTCCCCCAAAGAGCACCCTTGGCTCCTGTCCTGCAAATTGGGGGCTCAAGCAGCCCTCTGGGGAGACAAGGGCTGGGACTGTAACATCGTATCATACACAATACTTCCATCTTCCACACTCTCCCATGTAAGGAAGTCTGGCTTCCTATCTCTACCACTGTCCGGCACTGGCAGTCACATGCCAGCAGACTGGCCAAGTGGGTGTGTAGGAGTGTGTTCCAGTCTTAGCTCTGCCCGGGAGGCCAGGTGATCTCAAGGATGCACATGGCCTTTCTGGGCCATTTCCATCATTTGTGACAAATGGCAGTTGACAGTCTGGTGCTTCAGGTTGTCAGGAGGCTCTCACTCAGCCTGGCCCAGGTGGAGCTGCTGAGGACCTTTTAATATTCCAAGCTTCTTCATGCGAACACCCTCTGCCCCCAGGAGTTCTCTGGGTGAGTTTAGTTTGACCCAGGAGTCAGGACCTTGGCACTACAAAGCAGTTTTGAGGGCCTTGCAGGTGTGGCCAGAACAGAATGCCACAACGGTCTCAGAGGAGCTTGGCTCCTCAGGCCTAGACATGCTAGCCCCCATCCTCACAGTAGCAGGGGCAGCAGGGGCCGGTGTGGGGCATGGGAAGGTAGGACGTCTGGGTTCCCACAGGCCATGGCTGAGTCACAGGCAGCCATCTGGCTCTCATTAGCCCAGGGCAGCAGGGGGCTCTGTGGGGCGGGCCCTGTGGCCTGCTGGGGGCAGGGACATTGGGGCAGGCTGTGTGTATGAGAGAGTGAGAGAGAGATGACTCAAGACCCATGATAACAGCCTATGTGTATTTGGAGAGTGTAAACAGGAGAGGGAGAGGGAGGTGGAGGAAGTGAAGAAAAGAAAAAATTGTGTGGCTGGGAAGCAGGGGGGCGGGGTGGTAGGGAATGGTCCCCTTCTTCAAGCTGGCCCTGTGGTCCCCAGCTCTGCCTCTGCCAGCATTCCCAGCAAGGGTCCAAAGAGAGCCGCAGAGGCCTTGACCCCCACCCATAGGGAAGTCTCATTATTGGGTACCCAGGCTTCTGCTGCCCCTAGCTGCCAGGCCTAGGGGGTGGGCACATAGAGAAGCAGAGCCGTAAAGGCTGAGAAAGAGGGACAGAGAGTGAGGCAGAGGTCTGGATAGAGATGGAAATGGAAGTGCAGAGGGAATGAGAAGGCCTGAAGAGTGAGGTGCAGGAGAGACGGGACCTCAGTGGAAGCAATGGTGACCAGTAGGACCAGTAGGACCCAGGCACAGAGAAAAGGAGAAGCCCAGAGCTATACTGGGAACCAGGTGTAGCCTGAGCTAAGTGCTAGAATCCACGTGACAGCTGCAGCCACCAGACAATCGTTCAGGACTCTGCTGTGGGCACGGCAGCCATAACGCAGAGAAAGGCAGAAGGATGGATGCACAGAAGGTGGAGACCTAGGAAGCTAGACTGGGGGTGGGGGGTGGGGGCACAGTGACATGAGGGGAGAGATAGGGTAGAAACACCACTGGTAGGCCAGGTGTGATTCGCCCCCAAGCACAGCACTTGGGAGGAGGAGGCAGCCAGGGCTATAAAGCAATTAACAGGCTAGTTAGCGCTACACAGCAAGACCCTATCTCAAAGAGAAAGGACAGAGGTGGGGCCAAGGAGAGAGGGGCAGTGACCTTCCCAGGGAGAAGAGTGAGAACCCCATAAACAGAAGTAGGGCACTGTCTGAGGTATGCCAGGCCTGGGGGCCTGCCCTGATGGCCTCTGAGTCACTTAGCCAGCCTGTAACCAGCTGCCTATAGTGGGATGGGCAAGGTGTGTCACTGGCTAGAAGGGTGGGAGCCATCAGTCCCCATCTAGCTCTGGGCTGGGCACATCCTCGGGCTCCTCTTCATCAAAGTATCGTTCCTCCTCGTCACGTGCCACAATGTCCAGGTTGTCAAAGTCAGGGTTGTCATCCACCGTGCTGCAGAGAAGGAAGCTGTCAGAGGTCATGGGGGCCCAGGTCAGAGGAGCTGACCCCCTGGGGATGCTGGGCCTTTTGGAATCCAAAAGAGGTGTTTCCCAAACAGTCTACATAAAATACTGGCTTCTTGCAGAATGGAAGATGTGAGAACACCAGGGCCTGAGGACTTCTCAGGTTTTGCCTCCAAGGTCAGTGTGGCACTTTGACTGTCCCCACAGCCACTCCAGCCCCAGTTCCACTATGTGGACCCAAGTCACCAAGGCTCCACTCATCCAAGTACCCTTAGCAATTTCAGATCTACCTCAGCACGGACGCTCCTTTGTGTCCCTCATCCTCGCTCTTTGCAGATCTGCTCAGAAGCCCCCCTGAGGCTCTGACAACACTGCCCCCTCCCCTTCAGAGCTCCACCACCAATGGAAGTTGGGCAGTCTCTCCCCGATAGGAGGAGACCCTTTCAGGCAGGGAATCCTTGGCTGCCCCTATCCCTCGCTTTAGCTCCAGAGTCTGGACGCAGAAGGCTACAGAAGCATACACTGATTGCGGGGCACATCTGGGTCTCGGCTGCTCTCCTAGTGTAGCAGCGGGCCGGCTCGCAGGTGCCACGGCCCAACATTCTGCTTAGTCTTGGTGGCCCCAGCTAGCAGTGGATGAACTCCACTGGTTCCAGATATGTGGGTTCCCCACATGGACCCTCGAGCAGTAATCAGGACCCCTGTTCCACTGAAGCCATTCATGGACATGGTTCCCACGTCACTGGGGCTGGATGGAGTAGGCAGGGTCCTGAGCTCTCGGATCATAAGGAAGAAAATGGCTCAAATGACAGGCCTTTATCATTTATCTTAATTTTTTTCCTTCTTGAGACGGAGTCTCATCATGTTGCCCTGGCTGGAACTCAGAGACCCAATGCCTCTGCCTCCCACACGCTGGGATGGAGGATGTGCACTACCAGGCTTCATTTCAATGTTTTGTCAACACTGAGCTAAATGTCAGCTCAGTTTATCCCTCTGCCTACAGATCAAGGGCCTAGGGCTCTGAGAGGGACAAGGTTAGCCCAAGACCCTAGCCATCAACTCTCACTGATCTGAAACCTCCAGAGTGACTGACTCCACCAGGACTCATGGTGAGAAACTATTCCAGGGCCCTCTAGCACCACTAAGGGAGGGCCTTTGAGGATAGGCAGGGACGTGCTTGTGGCCCAGGGCCATGGGTACTGGGCTAGGAATGGGAGGCACCTGTAGTCAAAGCCTCCATCTTTGCCATCCAGGAATCGCTGGTGCATGCGGCTGGTGAACTCCTCCCGCAGGATCAGCCTCTCCTCCGAGTCGGGCACCCAGGACTCCGAGTCCTTGTCTGACCTCTGGTCTGTGGAGATACCCAGGACAGTGGCCTGAAGGTACCTGACAAGCTACTGTCCTATGTCCAGCCCTGTGCTATCAAGACAGCCCAATCCCTGCCCTCCTGGGGTGCACGCTGGATAAAATGGTGCTGTCAGTGGTCAGGAGGAGATGGCAGGATGGGGGTGAGGCCAGACATCATGTCTGTTCTCACAGGTTAGGGCCCAGTCAGGTGACCCAGCATGAAGGAACAGACATGCGCAGGGTGCCCTGTTGCCAGCCCTCACCTTCCTCATCGCTGTCCTCTTCCTCCTCAAAGCAGGCCTCCTCCTCTTCTTGCTGCCGGAGCAGCTTCTGCTGCAGCTCCCTTTCCTGGTAGGACTGGAACAGCAGGTCGGAGAGGGGATAGGCAGGTGTGCTGGGGGAGCCGGGCCTGGGGGCCTGGGGGGCAGGTGTGCGGGCACTGAGCTCTTCCTGTGTAAGGTACTGTCCTATATACTGCTCATACAGTAGCGGGGCCCGGAACCGCATCTGCTCATCACTGAAGTACTCGCCTCCTGTGCAGAAGAGGCAAGGTGGGTGGGTGTGAGCACACGCGTCCAGGCATGTATGTGCATGACATGCTTAGAAGATGTATACTTGGATGCAAGTCAGGTACATGATAAAGCCAGCCGTATGTGCCTAAGGTCCTGCGGGGCACTCAGTATACAGCCTGGGTGGAGCATGTTCATGTACCCTGGCCTGAGCCACTATGTAGACCAGGCTAGCATTAAACTCAGAGATCCTCCTGCCTCCCGAGTGTCGTGTGTGAACTGCTACACCAGGCTCTTCTTCCTTCATGCTTTCCACCTGTGTTTTGTTTAGGGTATCCTCAGCCACAGCCATCTAAGATGCCACTTCTGCCAACACTTGGAAGGCTGAGGCATGAGGAATTTGAGTTCAAGGGCAGCCTGGCACTATATAGTGAGACTCTGTCAAACAAATACGACTCTGTCATCTACTGAATTCTGACCCTATCTGCTTACCTTTCTCTCCCTTACTTTACTGTGGGGCTGTTTCTGCTCTTCTTGTCTCAAAACTTACCTCCTCTGGGTTCCTGCGCTTGTGCCTTGTCTCTGTTGCTCGGCTTCAGTCTCCCTTTCCTCCCCATCTCTGCCCCTCCCATCCACCATCCCCCCACACCTTGGATGAGCTCACGCAGGGCAGCATAACGCCGATTACGCAGGCGGGTGCGCAGGGTTCGGGGTCGGGCAGTGCCTTGCCGCGCCACCTCGGCACAGTAGAAGTCAGCTCGGTGGTCCCCACGCAGGTGGCCGAAGCAGGGCAGGTGCTCTTCCCGGAGGCCTGTGCGGAAGCGCTCCAGGAACACCAGTGGCTTCTCACGATACAGCTGACCCAGGATGGCCACCTTCTCACGCTCTGTCAGGTCAGGCTCACCCTGCTGTTGGCTGCACACAGGCAGGTGGCTGGCAGCGATTGCATGCAACATGGCACTCACAGCTGGACTCTCAGTCAGGGAGGTTTCATCATCGGAGACTCCTGGTGTATTCTCTTTTACTTCCTTGTCCTGGGGTGTAGATGGAACCAGAGTCTGGCTCAGCTCCCCCCAGTGTGCACATCTGGGCTCCACGTAGTCTGCAAGTCAAGGGGAGTCTTTACTTAAAGGCTAAGAGGGCATCAGGAAAGGCTTAGGAAGTGGCTAGGTGTTGACACACACAGTTCCCATTTATTGAGCACCTCCTGCATTGTGAGGAATGTTTTAGGCCCTAGATAGATCATGGTGAGCAAGAGGTCCCACTGTGATACCGTACACAGTCAATAACCTAATTAATTACCAAAATCACGTAATATGTTAGGTGTTTCCATGGCTATACAGAAAAACCAAAGCAGACAAGCCTGGTACAGTAGCATACACATTTAATTCCAGGCACCTTTAATTCCAGAGGGTCTCCTGAGTTCAAGGCCAGCCAGGACTACACAGAATGAATCTCAAAAATAAAAACAAACCAACAATAAAAATCCAAAACACCAATAATGATGATGATGATAAGAACATGAGAATGAAAGTCCAAAAATGACAGGAGGCAATGTGGGGATGGCTCAGTTTTAAATGGAAGGGTAACAGAAAGCTTGTCAGGAAGTGACATCTGGAGAGATGGCTCAGTGGTTAAGAGCACTGGCTGCTCTTCCAGATGACTAAGCTCAGCTCCCAGCACCCACATGGCAGCTATCAATTGTCTGTATCTCCAGTTCTAGAGGATGCAGCATCTTATCCTAGCCTCCTTGGCAATACACTCTTGTGGTGCACAGACATGCATGTGGACAAAACACCTACACATACAAGATAAAAATAAGCAAGTTTATCTGAGTAAAAACCTGAAGTGCTAAGAGACTGAGTTCTGTACTTTTGGGGACAAAACGTTCTAAGCAGGGGACAGCAGAACAGGCCCCGAGATCTGACCTACCAAGCTACTCCAGACTTTGCTTGTTTCCTTGGCCATCACGTTAGGATACATTCACTAACTTGTTCAATGACTATAGTGGTTTGAATAAGAATGGCCCCCACAGGTTCATACATTTGAATGCTTGGTCATTAGGGAGTGGCACTATTTGAAAGGATCAGAAGGATTGGGAAGTGTGTCAATGGGTGGACTTTGAGGTTTCAAAAGCCCATGCCAAGCCCAGAGTTTCTCAGTCTATGGATCAGGATGTGGCCCTCGGCTCCGGCCAGCACCTGCCTGCATGCTTCCATATTCCCCACCAGGATGATAATAGACTGACTAAATCTCCAAAGCTGTAAGCAAGCCCCAATTAAATGGTTTCCTTTGTAAGAGTTGCCTTGGTCATGGTGTCTGACTTAGGGTTTTTATTGCTGTAAATAGACACCATGACCAGGGCCACTCTTATAAAGGAAAGCACTTAATTGAGGGTGGCTCGCTTACAATTTCAGAGGTTCAGTCCATTATGATCATGATGGGGTGCATGGCCGCATGCAGGCAGACATGGTGATAGAGCTGAGAGGGCTACATCTTCCAAGTAACAGGAAGTCGACTGACTGTTACACCGAGTGAAGCTTGAGAAGAAGACCTTAAAACCCACCTCCACAGTGACACACTTCCTCCAATAAGACCACAAGGCCACACCTCCTAATAGTGCCACTCCCTTTGGGGGCCATTTTCTTTCAAACCACCACAGTGTCTCTTCATAGCAATGGAATAGTGACTAAGACAATGACCAACATGCTCATTCACATCCCCTTAGGTGTTCTCACATCCCCCTAATCATTCTCAAGTCTGTGCAAAGCCCTGAGCCAGGAGTGTGGAGTGTCCTAGGGAGGACTCCTATAGTTCCTGCCCTCAGTGGGCAGCCAGTCTGATATGGGAGGTCCTGATCAAAGATGACTTAGGCATAGAACAGGAAAGACAGGCACTGGGAAAAGCCGGTGGGAGCTATTTCACAGGCAGGAAGTAACTTCAAGTAAGAGAAAAGCAAAATGGGAGAACCATGTGCCTCCTTTAGATAACTGAGATAACTGACTGGGATTGGGAGCAGGGATGCTGCCTGTGGGTACTGTGGATTTCAGCCATTGAAGCAGGAGAGGCTGGAACTAAGGCAGGGACCGGGGCAGGGGGGTTGGAGGAGGGTTAGATGCTTGAATGGGCAGGAGGAGGGTTAGATGCTTGAATGGGCAAGCCACAGGGCTGGAGGGCTGGGAGGGTCAGGGGAAGGTCCAGGTCTCTAGCCAAGGAGACAGCCAAACTACCCCTGAGACACAGGCAAGAAGCAAATTGGGCTAGGGAAGCTGCCATGGGTGTAGGAGACATTTGAGAGGCTGTATCTAAGAGAATGCTGGAACATGGGCCTCCAGGGTCTCCCAGAGAGAGATACAGGGCTGGAGACATGGTTGTATACATATACAGAGCCAGGCATATGTCATCAGTGCCAGGCAGAGATAAATGGCAGATGGGGTGAAGGGGAGTGTGTGCAGACAAACCACAAAGCAGATGACATTGGATATAAGGGAAGAGGACATGCCTGTGAAAGCTAAGAACTAGGTCCTTCAAGGACAGACGCATCTTAATTGCTGGAATCTGTAACATGCAGGGGTGTGGGGTGTGGGGGAGGGAAAGGGTTTCCACAGACATAATTATATTAAGGTTCTTAAAAATTGAGAGATTATTCTGGATTAAATGTCCTAAATGCAATAAGAGACTGAGGAAGGGCTGGAAAGATGGCTCAGTGGTTAAGGGCACCAGATGCTCTTCCAGAGGACCCAGGTTGATTCCAGCACACATATAGCAGCTCACAACCATGTGTAACTCCAGTTCTTGAGGATCTGATGCCCTCTTCTGGCCTCTGTGGGCACCATGCACAAACATACATATAGGCCAAACCTCATACACATAAAATAATAAATAATAATAGTAGTAGTAGTAATGAAAACATAGCACACATAGGTGCTGTGGTGGTGGAAAAAAGATCAGAGTGTTATGGACACAAACCAACAAGTGCCAGAGCCATCTCTGACTGGAAGAGACAAGGAACCACCTAAAGTCTGTGAGGGAGCCAGGCCATGTGGCTTGATTATTTCTGACTGGTAATATTAAGTTTAGATTTTACTTCTGTTCACTTTAAACACCCATTTTCTGGTGATTTAGCATAGCAGACATGAGAAATAACACAAAGGGCTAAGAAGGAGCAGCCTGAGAAGCAAGAAGGAGCCAGAGCATGTTATCTCATAAAGCAAACTTACCAGGTTGCAGGGTCAACAACATTAACTCCTGTAAGCAGTACAGTAAGGAAACACCTAGATGCCGGACAGAGTGGCGTACACCTTTAGCTCCAGTGCTGTGGGATGGTCTGTATGTCAAATGTGTTGCTGATTGGTCAATAAATAAATCACTGATTGGCCCGTGGCCAGGCAGGAAGTATAGGCGGGACTAACAGAGAGGAAAATTGAGAGAACAGGAAGCTGGGTGGGAGAGACACTGCCAGCCGCCATCAGGACAAGGAAGATGTAAAGTACCGGTAAGCCACAAGCCACGTGGCAAGGTATAGATTAATAGAAATGGATTAATTTAAGCTGTAAGAACAGTTAGCAAGAAGCCTGTCACGGCCATACAGTTTGTAACCAATGTAAGTCTCTGTGTTTACTTGATCGGGTTTGAGCGGCTTGGGACTGGCGGGTGAGAGAGATTTGCCTCGACTGTGGGCCAGGCAGGAAAACTCTAGCTACACTCCAGCACTCAGGAGGCTGAGGCAGAATGAGTCATGAGTTTGAGACCAGGCTGGATTACATGGTGGGTTCTAAGTAAGTCTGGGTTGCAAAGTGAAACCCCACCTCAAATAAGCAAAATAAATAAATGAATAGCAACGAAAATGTAACAAAAACAACAAAACCCAAATAACTAGATGGAGTAGCCATGTTTAATTGCACATAGGAGGACGCCATTGGGGATCCTAAGTGGAAGGCTGTTGTGGAATATTAGTTGAAGATGTGTTACATTCGTTTATGCTGCAGAATGTTTGTTTAATGATGCAAAGATGTATTGCACTCTTTTTTTCAAGATCTACTTATTTATTATGTATCTAGTGTTCTGCCTGCATGTATCCCTGCAGGCCAGAAGAGGGCGCCAGATTTCATTACAGATGGTTGTGAGCCACCATGTGGTTGCTGCGAATTGAACTCAGGACCTCTGGAAGAGCAGCCAGTGCGCTTAACCTCTGAGCCATCTCTTCAGCATTGTGTTGCATTCTTTTATGTTGCATTTTTTTAACTCTGTCAAGCTGTGTTACTTTGCCTGTCTAAAACACCTGACTGGTCTAATAAAGAGCTGGACAGTCAATAGCAAGGCAAGAGAAAGGATGGGTGGGGCTGGCAGGCAGAGAGAATGAACAAGAAGCAAAGAGGGCCGGGCGGCGGTGGCGGTGGCGGCGGCGGCGGTGGTGGTGGTGGTGGTGGTGGTGGTGGTGGCGGCGGCGGCGGCGGCAGCGGCGGCGGCGGCGCACGCCTTTAATCCCAGCACTCGGGAGGCAGAGGCAGGCGGATCTCTGTGAGTTCGAGGCCAGCCTGGTCTACAAAGCGAGATCCAAGAAAGGCACAAAACTACACAGAGAAACCCTGTCTCGAAAAAACAAAAAAAAACAAAAAAAAAAGAAGCAAAGGAGGGAGGAGTAAGAAGAGAAGAGGGGGCTGGAGAGATGGCTCAGAGGTTAAGAGCACAGACTGCTCTTCCAGAGGTCCTGAGTTCAAATCCCAGCAACCACATGGTGGCTAACAACCACCTGTAATAAGATCTGGTGCCCTCTTCTGGCCTGCAAGGATACTTGCAGACAGAACACTGTATGTATAATAATAAATAAATCTTTAAAAAAAAAAAAGAAGAGAAGAGGAGGGCACCAGGAGCCAGTCACCTAGCCACCCAGCCAGCAATGGAGTAAGAAGGAAAGAAAGACATATAGAATAAAGGTAAAAGCCCAGAGGCAAAAGTTAGACAGATAACTTAAGAAAAGCTGGCTAGAGCCGGGGTGGTGGTGGCAGTGGCGGCGGCAGCGACGCACGCCTTTATTCCCAGCACTCGGGAGGCAGAGGCAGGTGGATCTCTGTGAGTTCGAGGCCAGCCTGGGCTACAGAGTGAGTCCCAGGAAAGGTGCCAAAGCTATACAGAGAAACCTTGTCTCGAAAACACACAAACACACACACATACAAAGAAAAGAAGAAAAAGAAAAAAGAAAAGCTGGTTAGAAACAAGCCAAGCTAAGGCCGGGCATTCATAAGTAAGAATAAATCTCCAGCCGGGTGGTGGTGGTGGCGCATGCCTTTAATCCCAGCACTCAGGAGGCAGAGCCAGGCGGATCTCTGTGAGTTCGAGGCCAGCCTGGGCTACAGAGTGAGATCCAGGAAAGGCGCAAAGCTACACAGAGAAACCCTGTCTCAAAAAAAAAAAAAAAAAAACAAAAAAAACCACACCAATAAATAAATAAATCTCTGTGTATTTATTTGCAAGCTAGGTGGCGGGCCCACAAAGAGCAAAGTTTAAAAACAACAACTACAGAAGGCAAGGGCCAAGGGCACTTTTTTTTTTTTTTTTAACCTTTTGATAAATGTTCTTGGGAGTGCTAGGACTACAGGCCTGCTCCACAAGTTTATGTGGTGCTGGGGACTGAGCCTAGGGCTTCAGGCATGGTAGGCAAGCATTCCACCAATAAACTACATCCTCAGTCCCTGGCTTTGAACTTTCCATCCTCCTGCCTCAGGCTCCTGACTATAAGCCTGTCTCACCATGTCTTGCTCCAGATTCTCTTTTAGGTTTGGAGGCCTGGCTTAGTGGTAGCAAGTATAATAAGCATTCATAAGGCCCAGGGGCTTAGGCTCCAGCAACCAGAAGTTTAAAAGATATAGAAAATGTTAATATACATATTTTTGATTCAGGGCCTCACTCTACAGGGTCTCACTTTGTGGCCTGGAACTGTGTAGTTCAGGCTGACTGTAAACTCAAGGCAAACCTCCTGCTTCAGTCTCCCAAGAGCTGGGATTATAGGTTTAAGCCATCATACCCGGTGTATCAAAGACTGAAACCTAGAGATATAGAACACACAGACACCTGCCTCTACATTCATATACCTTCTATTCAGCTTAAGTAATCCCAAATCTTAGTTGTCAAACGGCTTCCACTGTACCTCATCTCGCCCCCGCCCCCATCTGATTACTTTAAAACAATGAGTTTTTAAGGTAAGACAAAAAGCACTTTAAAAATAGGTATGGTAACCGCACAGGGCTGTAACCCCAGCATCTCGGAGGCTGAGACAGGAGGAAGGCAAGTTGCTATAGAAAAAAGACTGACTGAAAACACACACACATACACACAAGAGGTGGGAGCAATACTTGTGGGAACTCGGTAGAGAAGTAAAAGACATTGAAGGTGAGAGGGAGAAAGGACCCGAGGAGGCAGAATGGACAGCGGACTTTGGGGGCAGGGGAGTTAGAATACAATGGGAGCTGTGGGTCTGACATAAGTGAGTTTATATGGGACAAGAGGAGATCTAGCTTGGGGCATAGAAAAGTTCAGATTGGCACGGGGAAGAGGTAAGTCGAGAAAGGTTGGCCTGAGACTGGAAGAATTTGCAAGCAAGCTTATATTTGCTTGAGGCGTTGGCATGGTAAGAAATGGGTTAGCCTGGGATACCGAAAGGGGTTCATTCCTAAGAGAATGGAGGGAATTGTCCACCCGCCACAAGGCCGATAATCTGATATCAAAGTGGATCAAGTGCGGAAAATGCCTGTAAACTGAGGTCACACTTCCTAGGGAGTCCTCAGCGCTTGCCGGAACCGTTTCCAGGTCACACTGCCAAGAGCACCCTCCCGCCGCCTGCACCTGGCCAGTGCCTCACCATCATCGGGCTTCCTCTCCGTCACCGCCCCGGCTGCCACGGCCTCCATCCCGGGTCTCCGACTCGCTAACCGCCTCAGCGGGCTCCGGAAGCCGATCTGGACCTTAAACACTAGTAGCCATTTCCGGCTATGCAAGCGTTACTGGCCGAGTGCTTAAGCTGCATCCAGGAACCAAAGTTCCGGGTCAAAGGTGGGCCATCTCTCTGCGCATGCGTGGCCCCGCCCACAACCACCGGGTACGAAAATGGCGCTAGGTCGAACCTTGTTAAATTGTAAAGTCAGCGAGGACCGTGTGCCATTTGATCGCTGCTGTAATTCCAGATATGTAGTTAATATTTGGAATGGTTATTGCGTGAGCATCCTCCAGGAACTGGAGCCCTCGTATGCAGACTCTCGAGTATGGTTTTTAGTTAAAAAATAATGTATGTTTATGTGATCAGTGGACAATTTATGCAAGTGGGTTCCGGAGATAAAATTCAGTCGTTAAGATTGCCAGCGGAAAATTTTCTTTTTCTTCCCGACACAAGGTTTTTCTGTGTAGACCTGGCTGTCCTGGAAAACACTCTGTATACCAGGCTGGCCTCAAACTCAGAGATCCACTGCTTCTGCCTCCCGAGTGCTGAGATTAAAGGCGTGCGCCACCACTGCTCGACAACCCAGCAAGGATCTTTGACCAGAGCCATTTCACCCACCCTTGTGCTCTTTGTAGATTTGACTCCTATCATCACATCCAGCCTGTGGCTGGCATGAGATGAAGTCAGGGAAAGGGCTTTTGTGTTTCTAAACGAGGAAGGCTGCAGATGTGAGGGAAGAGCTGTGGAAAGGGGAGGAACCTGCCTACAACAGTCTATGTTGGAGGCTTTTAGGTGGGGAAACAGATCCCAGATGAGACCTGAAGGGATGAACAGGAGTTTAGTATTTCAGGCAGTTTGGCTGGCATATAGGTAGTACTAGATGCTGTGGCTTGCTATGGTCAGGGCATACAGGAGGCAGGAGGCAGGGGCAGGGAGATCACTTAAGGTTTGAGCCAGTTTGGCCACTAGTGAGATCCAGGGCTACATAGCAAAACATTGTCTCAAGAAAGCAAAAAATAAATAAAAGGTGTTTGGTCATGGTCATCCGTGCCAGGTCATGCAGGGCTTCCTAGCCTTAATGAGTTGTTGGAGCCTACAAGGTCTGAGGAAGGGAACCAGGGAAAGGAATTGGAGAGCACTATGAGGAAGCTGGTGCATTAATCCAGAAATGAACTACTGTTTGCATTCCCTAGTCGTGGTGAGGAAAGGCCTGGGGAAAACTAATCAGCTGCATCATCAGGAGTGGTCAGCAGAGGGCGCTGCTGCCCTGCACTCGCCTGCCAAGAGCAGGACTTCTCAGACCAGGACAGTAAGGACCCCTCCATTCCTTGTAGAGCAAGTTGACAAGTGCCCTTTAGGCACAGACCAGTCCCTCCTCAGGCTTCACCACTACTCTGCCTCCCTCCTGGTGTTTGGCCACATTGCTGCACCTAGGCCAAGGTGCACTGTGAACAGCATGCATAGCCCTCATCGCTCTGTAGAGGCAGTTAACTTCCCTAACTGCAAGCCTCAAGGGAGCTGGGACTCGTGTCACCACCCCTAGCTTCTCTTTTGGTAGGTTGTGTCCCTTCACAAGGTTCCCCAGTTCCTACAGGGGAGGTGGACTGAACTGTGCACACCAGACCAGATGTGAAAGACACAGCTTGCACAGGAAGAGAGAAATGAAGAGGGATGGTGGGCTACAGAGTCCAACTCTAAAGCTCACGTTGCACTTTACTCTTCTCCAGAGCCCTCTTTCCATTAATCCAGGGTCTCTCTAAACACTTGGAGCTGTCACTGGTTACAAACATGTATTCCCTGGAGGGGGAACCCCGAGAACAGGGACTGGGGTCATCTTTGCAGCGCTTAGGGTCCCTAGCACTGTCCAGGATGGTGACAGAGCAAGCAGCTAACACATACATGGGAGGCAGTGCAAGACTGCCAAGAGCAGCATCCAGGCCACGCCTCGGGGGTGCTGTTGGGCAACACACCTGGGGATGGCACTGAAGCAGCCTGGTCTCTTCCTTACAGGTCCCATCTGTCTGTGCCCTGCCCGAGGAGCATCTGGGTTGTGTGAGCTAGAGAACCATTTTGTTTAAATGAATGAGTGAAGCACTTCCCCCTCCGAAGGCCTCCCATCCCAATTAAAGGCCAACTGCAGTAACACTTCAGGGCTTCAACCCTGCTTCGTTCCTGATAGGAGGTGCCATGTCATTTATTGAAAGAAAATAAAACAAAACAGGGTAAAACATTTCTTAATAAGTGCAGTTTGCTAAAATCCAATTAAAATATATGGGTGAAGGGGAAGTGAAAATAATCAAGGGACCACTAAAACTTAGGAGGTCTGGCACCTGCAAGTGCAATGGAGGAGTGGTGAGGGACTTTAAGGTCTAAAGGGAAGCCGGCCCCACCCCACCTTCCCTTCACCCTCTCACCCACTTAAGCCCACCAGAAACTACCAAGACTCCTGGAGTAAAAGGTTTCAAGTTCAATAGTCACACTCTCTCCAAATACAAAAAGCAGTTACAATCCAACTGAACACAGATGCTTGTGAGCAAAGTTACGGGGAACTGAGACATCATATAAAAAGTTAGGTTAAAGGTGATTTTGTGGTTTGTTTCGAGGTTGTGGCTCTTCCTCGGTTACCTGAACTCAGCAAAGAAATAGATATTTGATGAAGTATCAACAGCTGACCCACAGTAAAAACAGACAAATTCTAAAAATTAAAAAAAAAGCATAATTACCAAAAAATATGTCGCTGCTTCCTACCTCTGCATTTTGCTTCTTAAACTTTTTTTTATTAAAGTTTTTGATTTTTTTTTTTTTAAATCCTGAAAAGTAGACAGTAAAACAGCTCCTGGAAGAATTTACAACCAACTGCATGAGTATGGGAAGCCAAGGGGCTAAAGCAGGGTAATTAGGGGCAGACAGGCAGGGGTCCTCCCCAGTCACTGTGGTAACCAAAGGAGAGGAGACTTCTTTAGTCAAAAAGGCAGGGAGAGGAGAAAGTGGAAGGGACAAAGATAAAAGAAAAGGTCACTGCTGCCTGTTTGAATCCAGAGAAAAAAAGCCTGGCCTGTATAAAGGGAGAAGAAGCCCCTCTGGAAGAAGTGGGCTAGAGAGAGGCAGCCCTGGGATAGCTCTGTCCCCAGCACCACAGGACTCGGAGGGGATGGAAGGGGCCAAGGCAGGCGCTAGTAGGAGCGGCTGGCACGGGCCTCTGAAGGCCCCAGCACCGGCTACTGTGTGCTTGCGCCCCCCTGCGTGCTGCCCGAGTAGCCTCCATAGTCGTAGCTCCCGTAGTACGGCGGCCACTGGCTCTGGCTCTGATAGTACTGGCTCCACTGCTGGGCATACTGGGGAGAGAAGAGAACGCCAGGTTATGTCCCCGCCACTCCAGACTGTTCGTTTGCTCCTCTCATGGTCTCTACCCTCAACACAGGCGTCCTTTGACAGAAACCAAAGTGCTTTGGAAAGATAAGGGCTGACTTGACGTCACCTAAACCAGCGATCAGGGAATGCAGTCCTGATCTCCAAGCTTGCTGGCTGTCCTCTGCAGACATGGTGGCTCCAGTACCAACTTGGAATAGCACTTGGCACCCCTGGCCATGGTGTCAGAGCAGGACTCAGCCCAGCCAGGTCAGTTTGCTGCACTGGGGGCCAGTGGCTACACACCAGTTATTTATTAGCCAGTGAATACCAGTTTACCAAAGGTTTTTTGAACACTAGCTTGAGGCAAGCAGCCACCCATGTTTCAGGAATAGGCAGGAAACCAAGTTTGAATACACACCCAAGAGTGCTCCCAAAAGCCTTACTGGGAAGGCCTATCTTGTACTTACCTGCTGATACTGGTTATAGCTGGGCTGAGGGTAAGTCTGGGCAGTGGGTGGTGGTGGTGGGGTGTAGGGGGCAGGATTGTAGGGGCCATAGCTCCCATAGTTGTAGGCAGGTGGTGGTGGAGGCGGAGGCGGTGGGGCTGTGTAGCCCTGGGTGTAGCCTCCTTGGTTGTAGGGTGGCTGGCTGTAACTAGGCTGGGTAGAAAAAAAGACAAAAGCTCCATGAGAGACAGCATACACTGGTATGGAGGCAACTTCCCCAACAGAGGCAACTCTGTGCATAGCCAGGATGGGTCTGGGAAGCAGCAGATCCTAGGCCTGAGCTCTGAGGCCTGAGGGCAACAAGTTACATGGTACTTCTAAACCTGCTTCCCAGTCTACAAAACCATCTTGGCACAGCCACCCCCCTCTGGCCTATTGTGGACGTTCAATAAGCTTGTGGCCATGATGACAATGGACTGACCTCTGAAACCATAAGCCACCATTTCAATAAAATGTTTCCTTATGAGTTGCAGTGGTCATGGTGTCTCTTCACAGCAACAGAAACTCTAAGACAAGGAGTTTCCCATGTACATGACAGATGGATCATTAACTCATTCAGTCTCCTTAGCAATTCTGGCATCACTTTCATTAGCTCTATTTTACAGCGCTGGGACTGGAGAGACGGCTCAGTGGTTAGAATACTGGCTATCTTGTAGAGGACCCAGGTTTGGTTCCCAGCACCCACACAGTGACTCACAACTGTCTGTAACTCAGGTTTCAAGGGACCATTCTCTTCTGACCTCCGCAGGTACTGCACACACACATATATACACACACAAGCAAACATTCACATATATAAAATCATTTTTAACAATAATCAATCTTAAATCCCAGTGAGGCTGCTGGGCCAAGTCCACACTACTAAAATGACTAGCTGAGGTCTGCCTGGTCCCAGAGCCTTCATTAATCAAACCTCACAGGAACTCCTAAGTGAGTTCTAGTCATGTTTCTGGTCCTTTATGGGGAACACAAGGACCAGACGGGGTCAAGCTATCTGTCCAAGATCACAAAGCCAGGCTCTGGAGCTAGGCTTTGAACTTAGTCTTGCCAAACCCCTAGGAAATGTTTTGGCTAGATGGCATCTAGGAAGCACTCAGCTGTCTCCTGGCAGCTGCTCCCAGCTGCTTCTTGGCATGTAAAAGGTCCTTAGGAAATGGCTGTGAAATAAGAGACTGCTCCGGTTCACAGAAGTACTGTCTTTCTAAGAACTGGAACAGGGCCTGGAGCTGCTCAGGGACAAGGTTCTCATCTACTTTGGGAC